CGGGACCTTAAGGTCCCAAACACTCATCAGCTCCTCACCTCCCGGGTGTCAGGCTGAGTTGGCTCAGAGGCCCTCCCTCTCTTGCCCAGGTGGCCCTGAGCGTGGCCCTCTAGGGCCTGCGGGGCCAGGTGCCGCAGGAGCTCGCGGTGGGTGCAGGCAGCTGGCGGTGTGGCCTGCATGCAGGCGACGTCTCGGTGCGTGGCTGGGCCTCATGGGGCTGCAGCTGAGGTCTGGGCGAGCTGGGACGGGAAGGGGTGGGCTCGCACACACCCACCTAGCTCACCTGCCGCTAGCCACGCTCACCGAGCCTCAGCCTCCTGCGTCTGCTGCTGCCAGAGCCCAGGGAGCTGGGGCCACAGCAGGGACAGGAGAGAGGAGGTGCTGGGGGCCAGGTCCTGGAGCGGGAGTCGGAGACTCTTTAGACAGCAAGCATCTCCATTTTGATCCCTCACCCACCTGCGTGCAGCCTCGCACCTGTACCTGTGCACCTATGGGGCGGCCTTCCCCATCTGTGGCTGTCCCGCTCTGGGAGCCCTAGGAGAATACGTAGATCGGGCTGGTTTGGGGTAGGGCCCATTGGAGCATTCCCGAACTGCCCCTGGTCCCTGGGCTCATGGGGCCACAGACAGACAGACAGAGACACACAGAGACAGAGACGGGGACAAGGATGGCCGTGGAGACGCCACAGAGAGGCAGGAGAGGCTTGGCTGCTGCTTGGTCACTGAGCCAGCGGAGGTGTGTGTCACGCCCAGGGTGCCGACCCTGCAGGGCGACCAGAAACCCTGCCGGGGCCTTTGCACCTGTGTGTGTGGGGGGGCTGCCCTCTTCTCTCGGTGCTGCCGGGCCAGTCCCTGCCTGCCTCTCCCTCGTTGGGCCCCTCTGTCCAGGACGTCCCACCGAGACGTGGAAATGGACATGGACACTGAGTCCCTGAGTCTTGTCAATTGCACATTTGTTGAGCACCTACTGTTTGTTAACCTCTGTGCCAGCATTGCCTTCTTAAGCCTTCTGGACAACCCTCGCCAGAAACCTGAGGCTCAGAGAAGCTAGGCTGCTGGCCACACAGCAAGTATGCCCTGAGACAAAACTCAACCCGGGGCTTGCCTGATGACCCAAGGATTTTTTCCCATTTACCCCTTCACGCCCGGACTCCGTGGTTCCAAATGCCTCTGCCTCAGGATGTGCTCCGGCGTGTCTCGGTATTTTTAGGCACTTTTCCGCTACCCCATCTGCCAGGTTTGGTTGGAAAGAGGAAGCACAGGGGGGTTGGGGTAGGTGTCTGAGGCCGAGCCTCCTGTGTCCCCAGACTGCGCCTGGATCCTTCCGCGTGGCAGCCTGGCAGCTTCTCCAGGCGCCTGGCCCCTCCCTGCAGTGCCCTGGCCTCTTGAGAAGCTGGAGGAACAATTGCTAATCAGCACCGAGAGAGGCGGCAGTGAATGCAGGAGCCCACGGCGCCTCAATTACTGGCAGCTGGTCCCCTCCCCACGTGGCAGAGCCCGGCCCCCAGCTCTCCGCCTCACTTCCAGCTCTTCCTCCTCCTGCCCGATTTCCCCACGTCCTGATGGAGCTGCGGGATTGAGGGCTGGCCCCGCCCTGACCCTCCTTCACCCAGCTTCCCACCGAGAGGCCCCCAGACACTGATCACAGGCTCATCTCGGAGCTTTTCCACACCCCACTCCTTAACAGCCCTCTTCTGTCTGGCAAACTCCTACCCACCTTCCCGAGTCCAGCTTCATGTCACCTCCTCCGGGAAGCCCTCCCAGGCTTTCCCGCTCTCCCAAGGCAAACCCCTCCTCTGGGCTCCCACAGCCGTGTCCACGCTAGGACACTCACTGCCCGGCATGGACCTGTCCTTCTCCCCAGTGCCCAGGACAGGCCTGGCCGTGTGGGCAGTCAGTATGGCAGCAAGATGTTGTGGGAAGAGCACTGGGCGTGGAGTCCACTGGGTTCCAGCTGCGGCTCTGACTAGCAGTTGGGCGAATTACTAACTTGTGCTTCTGCTCCATCCTGGCCTGCCTTTATCTGGCTGCCACCCCCTCTTCCTCCAGGTCCCTGCCCCCTCGCCAGGGTCTACAGCCCCAAGACCCCCTTTTTTCTCTTCTTCCCCCTGGGGTGACTCATGCAGCGTCCCTGGGCTCCCACAGCAGGTCCTGATCCCTGGTCGCCATTGCATCCCCAGCACTTGGGGAGAGGTGAATGAATGATGCATGAATGAATGGAACCTGGAGTTTCTCACCTGTTAAATAGGGGTGGTAGTAATTCTACCTTCCTAGGGTAGCTGTGGCTGAGATCAAAGTTCATTCTTTGAGGCAGGCGTGGTGGCACACCAGCTACTCGGGAGGCTGGGGCAGGAGGGTCACTTGTGCCCAGGAGTTCAAGTCCAGTCGGGGCAACAGAGCCAGATGCTGTCTCTTATTTAAAAAGAAAAAAGTTCGCTTTCTGCCAATCCTCAGTACACGCGCTCTATGATTGTAAGCAGTCACTGAGGGGAACTGGAGTTGGCCTGGAAGAGGAAGTGGCATGTGCCGTGACCTTGAGGAGACAGGACTCGGTATGCGGGAGTAGCCGGTGCCTGGGGTAAAGGCGGGCAGAGTGAGGATGGCGTGTGGTGTAGGGCCAACCATCCAGGGCCTGTGGGCCACCCTAGGTGTTGCTGGCGACCAGGGATGTGGCTAACTGAGCTTGGGGTCCTCAAAGCACAAGCCATTTGGAGACCTGAGAGCAGAGGGCAGCCCCAGGGCCGGGCTGTGGGCAGGGGTGCAGCCTGGCCAGCCACCTGGGCCGCCATGGGACAGGTCAGCTGGGTCCTGGGTGAGACCCCCAGACCCAGCCATCAGAGCCTCAGCTCAGAGGAACTCCAGTTCATAGCATGCCCTGGGCGGGAGGTCCCCAGCTGGCCAGGGGCCTTCAGAAAGTGGGGGCTGAGCTTGGAACAGCAGGTGGAACAGAGCTGGGGGCCGCAGAGTGGGCTCTGGGCAGCAGCCGGCAGCCCCGGCCACTCCTCATCTCCTCTGGCACAGAGAAGGGGTACCCCGGGGACAGGCAGTGGCCTCCTGGGCCCATCCAGGTCAGCTCCACACGCGCCACCCCCAGGCCACGCCTGGCACAGGGAGGGTGTGGGGGAGTGAGGAGGCGCCGAGGCTGGCAAGAGGACCTCAGGGGACTCTGCGAGTACCGGGACGGCCTGGGCACTGAGGGGGGAAGGCCCCGTCTCTGTGCCGGGAGGAGGATGGCCAGTGGGGGTCCTGCTGGGAGGCCACAGCCGGCCCACCTGGCCTGCTCCTGCCGAGCCCCTAGGCAGTCAGCTCTTGGGCAGCAGGAATTGGGTAATCCAATTACCCAATCCTGTCACCACCTTCAGGGACACCCAGCCCCAGAGTCCCAGAAGGTAGCCCAGGTCAGCAACACCTCCCTGCCCCCACCTCAAAATACAGCCTTTCCAAGAAAACCACCCCAAACCGGGAGTTCAGGGCAGGTCCCCAGTAGATGGATAGAGACACCTGCCCCCAGCTCCCTGGGCCGGGCATTGGCCAGGTCGTGGGAACATGGAACTTGGGGGCTGGGGTCTCTAACCAGCCCCTTGCTGTTGCCCACCTGCCCCTCCCCCTGCCTGGGGAATGCCGGTGACAAAGGGACATCGTGTCTGTCCCTCTCTCCACTCCCCTGCTCTCATCCTGTTTCCGATCCGAACATGAAGGTCAAATCTGTTTGGAGGCCAAGGTGGTGCAGCACGAGGATCTTTCAGGCTCCTTCCAACAGGCCAGGATGCATCCAGCAAGCACACGCTGAGGCCAGCCCAGCGCCAGGCGCTGGGGACACAGATCCCCTCGCTCACGCCGGTCCCCAGAGCACCACAGTTCAGTTCCCTGGGGACAGGACACCGCCACCAAAGTCTGCCTGTGGGATCCCGCCCATCCCTCCAGGCCACCACCTCCAGAAAGTCGACCCTGATTGCACCTCCTCTTCTCTCCCTGGGTCCACCTGAGCCACAGGGACACTTCCTCCTCCTGACTCCCACGTCCCTTCCTCTGGCCCCGTCTCAGGTTTGCTCAAGGCAGGGCAGCCTCCCCCAGGAGGCCGTGAGCTCCTGAGAGCAATCCTGGGTCTGAGGCCTGGCAATGGGGGTGCTTTTTGACACCCCCAGGGTGCCAGGTGCTGTGCTTAATGCTCTGTCACCCTGGACTTCTACGTCTCGGTTGCCTCCCATGCCACCTCCCAGACAGCCCTAGGACTGCCCCCTTCTCTCCATCCCACTGTTCCAAACTGTGCCCAACACCCAGAACAGTGCCTGGCATCTAGTAGGTGCTCAGCGAAAACGTGTCGAATGAATGAATGTGTAGTTCAGACTCTTGCCGGCTGCATCCAGACTCCCCCTTCCTATCCTTTCTCTGCTCAGTAGCAGAGTGACATGTTGGAAAGTATCAATCTAATTTCCCCTGCTCTGGCTCCAAACCCTCATCCCCCAGTGACCTTGGCATTGATGCTCCTCCCGGCCTGCAGGACCCTGAATAGCCCAGGCCGCGGCCTCCCCAGCCTGCGTTCTCCACGCCCCGCTATGTATAGACGTTCCAGCCATAACACGGTTCTCGTAGGTGGCCGACCGCACCGGGCTGTTCACACGCCTGTCTTTGCGCATGCCGGCGCCTCTGGCGGAAGGCCTCCCACGCCTGCCACCTGCCTGGTGAACCATCGTGCTTCAGGAGCCTGGTCGAAGGCCACGCTGGCTAAGAGGCACAACCCGACCACCTGGAATGTCTCTCCGTGCTACTAGCACGGCACGCGCTGCTGTCATTTGTGGGGGTGTTGTCTGCCCTCTCAGTGGACACAGAGCGGCCCAGGCCCCGGGGCCTGTCTTCTGTGTGGAGCTCCCGGCACAGGCCTTGGCACAGAAGGCAGGAATGAAGGGGGTTCCCCGGTGTCGGCTAAGCCCGGGGCACGTGGAAGGCCACATCCAGGTGCGGGAGCATGCATCCTTCGCGTCTCTCTTGGCCAAAAGAAGGTCACTGCTTCAGTTATTTATTGATGCACAGTAGATGGCCTTAAAATGGAGCTGCCTAAAACAACGGCGGTGCATTATGTCTCTTAGTTCTGGGGGTTGACTGGGCTCTCCTGGGAAGTTCTGCTCCACGGAGACAGCTGCGGTCACTCGTGTGGCTGCTGGGACATTCGTTCAGCTGGGGCTGGAACTTCTCATTCCTGAGGGTCTCTGGTCATTCTGCAGGCTTGCCTGAGCCTCTAAGAGCTTCGCGTCTGCTGGCTTCCGGGAGGCGACATCCCAACAGGACATGTCCCTGTGCATGGCTTTTGAGGCCTTCGCTTGTGTCATTCTTACCAATGTTCCATTGGCCAAAGCAAGTCATGTGGCCACTACTGGGGGTAGGGTGTGGCGCATTAGGGCTATTGGGGAACTGTGGACCATGGACAGTTTCCTTCTTTAGAAATCGTCCTGGGCACAACTGAGCATGCTCCCCACCTGTCAGGGTGAGGGCAGGTGCGTCAAAGGCAGTTTGCAGTGGCCCCTGATCCCATCGCTTCGAACCTAAGGCCGGGCCAAGGTGGGGCTTTGTGTCACTAACCAAGGCTGGGTGAGACTCCTCTCACCCTCTCGGGGTCAAGCATGAGCCTTATCCCTTGGGGAGCTGGGTCTTTGAAAACAGTCCCCTCTCATGGGACACCTGTCACTGCAGGCAGCAGAAGAGGGAATGGTACTCTTTGCTTTCTACCAAAGGAAAAAAAAAGAGAGAGAGAGAGAGAGAACATCAAGAGATGTCCCAGACTAAGTGGTGTGAGTGGTTGCTTGGAGACAGCAGGTGAGATGAATCTTTCCTCCACTTCCCCAGTTCCCATCTGTCCTTTCCTTATTTCACGTTCTCTTTTTTCCATTTCTGATTCAGGACTTTGGCTAAATGACCTTTAAGATCCCTTCCGACATCCCTCATCTCTCTCTGTCATTGTCCTTTGGGGCCAGGTAATGCTGTAGTTACTAAGCACCTACCACGTCCCAGGCACACACCGGGCACTTTACCCGCCTAACCCAGACTTCGCTGGACGTTGCTGAGCTCATTGAGTCTCACACTCCTGCCCCCCCATGCTCGGTTCCTGGGCCTGGGGCCCAGCGCCCTGGGTCCTGCCTGGGGTGCACTGTGGGTGGCAGGGGTGAGTTCACTCAACATTGAGGCTCTTCCGCTTCTTCATACGGTGGGACCACCCGTCCTCTCTAGCTGTGACGTTAAGCTTGCTCTGGTCAGTGCTCCAGAAGCAGAACAGTCATGCACCTCTTCTGGGTGAAGCCCTAAGAGCCAGTGTGTGAGTCATTGTGTCCCCTTTCTTCCCACCATGGTGGTCACAGCGAGATGGAGCCTCTGTTAGCCTGTGGCCTTGAGTGGTTACTGTGTGTGGAGGCTCCTGTCCTGTGTGGGTAGTGTGAGTGAGAAACAGACTTTCTGTTAAGCTGTTGAGATTTGGGGAATGTTTGTCACTGCAGCGTAACAGGGCCCATCCTGACTGACACGTGCTTTCGAGTTCACAGGGCTGCTGGAACCACCTGTCTGGCCCTCATAACCAGCCTTTCTGGAAAATGGCAAGGCATTTTTCAAACTGTCTCAAAATCTATAGGTAAATTCCAGTGGAAGCCAATATGCGTTTTGGTGGCTAACTGGTTGTAGAAAGGTGGGGCAATGGGGACATGGGTATCCCAAAAGAGAAGGAAATCATCTCCAATTCACCCCTTAAACCAACAAGGAAAAGGATTTATTCTCAAATCCTTTAGTCACTTGGGAACACTTGGGATGTATTTTTCTTTGTTTATTTTTCTTTATTTTTTTTTAACTTGCTTTCCAAAGTTAGGCTCAAATTGAGCTATCAGTGGTGGTTTTTTTTTTTCTTCTTCTTTTTTCTAGCACAACTCCATAGATACATTTCAACAGCCCCTGCTTCTTGACCTGGGTGAGGCATCTCTCTTGATTGCATACAGATGATTGCTTTGTAAAATATTTTTAAACCCTGACACCTCTCCAAGAGAGAAGCCTGTTGTTAGGAGAGTGCAGTGGCTTTCAATTTCTCTTGACCTTTTAGGAAAAGCAATTTGAAATTTGGTGTTTATTTTCTGCCTTCGCAGAGTGCTTGGGAGAATCCAAGTTGGTATCACGTTGTCAGTTATCTTATTTCCAGCTCACTGCTTCACAAGCCCGGCCGTTGCTGTCACCAGTCGGTGGAGTACTGTGCATCTCCTCTGCTCCCGGGGACCGGCAAGTGAGTTCAGCAAGGGAGGCGGGAAGCCGGTCCTGCAGGCTCGATGACATGGCCCAGGATCCACGGTGCACGGGACTGCCGCAGCCTGCATTCCCACACCACCTTCTCCACCCATTTCTAAAATGTCATCGAGGAAAGCGTTCCTAAGGGGTGTCTGCCAACCCTTACTTGACACAGGGGAATGGAAGCCCCGGGGGTGCAGGCCCAGGCCAGGGTCGCTCAGAGTTGGGACGTGGCCAGCAGGTACCCGCAGGACAGAGTGGCAGAAAGGAAAGAACAAGGACATAGCACTGGACCGGACTGAAATCTGAACTTCAACTCTTTCACTTACTCACTGCGGGACTTTTGTTTGTTTGTTTGTTTTGAGACAGTCTTACTTTGTTGCCCAGGCTAGAGTGCTGTGACGTTAGCCTAGCTCACAGCAACCTCAAACTCCTGGGCTCAAGCGATCCTCCTGCCTCAGCCTCCTGAGTGGCTGGGACTACAGGCATGTGCCACCATGCCCGGCTAATTTTTTCTCTATATATTAGTTGGCCAATTAATTTCTTTCTATTTATAGTAGAGACGAGGACTCGCTCTTGATCAGGTTGGTTTCTAACTCCTGATCTTGAGCAATCCACCCGCCTCGGCCTCCCAGAGTGCTAGGATTACAGGTGTGAGCCACCTCGCCCGGCCACACTGTGGGACTTTGGATAAAAGCCTCCCTTTGTCTCAGCCTCGGTTTCCCCATCTTTAAAATGGGACCCCTAAAAATCACCAACGTTGACAGAGCACTTCCATGCGGGCACCTTCCACAGTTCAACTCGGTTTGCACAATGATGCTCTGAGATGCTATTATTATTACTCCACTTCTTAGATGAGGAAAGCAGTTATAAAACTTGCCCAAGGTCACCAAGAAGAGTGCAGACTCCAACCCAGGCAGTCTGACTGCTCTACTCCACATAAGGGCCAGCAAACTATGGCAGGTGGACCAAATCTGGCCACTGCTGTTTTATTTTTTAAAAGATTTATTGAGATATAATTCATGTACCATACAATTCATGTCTTTAGGGTATATGATTCATTGGTTTTTAGTATATTCAGAGTTGTGTATCCACCACCACAATCAATTTTCATCATCCTGAAAAAGAAACCTTGTAGCTCTAAGCTGTCACCCTTTCTTCTCCACCATGCCTTCCAGCCCTAGAAAACCACGAATCTACTTGCTATGGATTTGCCTATTCTGGACATTTCATAGGAACAGAATCATAGAATATGTGGTCTTATGTGTCTGACTTCTTCCACTTAGCATCATGTTCTCCAGGTTCATGTATCAGTACTTTATTTCCTTTGTTTGTTCCATTTTTTAAAATCTATGTTTGCTACAAATCTAGTCCTCTGAATTCCTTGTCTTCCTTTTTGGTTTTACTCACTCATTTTGGTAGATTACATTCTCAGTAGTTCCTTTAGGGAACTCAGAATGTAAATTTTTGAGGCCTAGAATGTCTCAAAATATTGGTCCAGCTTGACACTTGATAGTTTGGCTGGGTATAGAATTCTCTAGGACTTTGACTCGTAATTTTGAAGGCACTGCTCTACTGTCTTTCGTATTCCTGTGTTGTTGTCGGAAAATCTTATGCCATTCTCTTTCCCATTCCTTGTGTTTTCACTTTCCCTTCTACTTTCTCTCTCTGGAAATGTTTAGGATCTTCTCTTTGCCAGTGCCCTATAATTTAAAGTGATGTGAGATGGTATCCACCTTTTTGATTCATTAAGCTGGGTACACAGTGGGCCTGTTCAATTTTGAGGTGAATTTCATTGTATGCTGAGTAATTTCTTGTATTTTCTATTACTTCATTTCCTTTTTATTTCCAAATATATCTCACTGAATGGATATACCTCATTTTTAAAAATCTATTTATCAGGTGATGTACATTTGGGTTGTTTCCACTTTGGGGCTATTATGAATAGCGCTGCTATGCATATCTGTGTACAAGTTTCTGTGTGGACACACGTTTTCATTTCTACCTGGGAGTGGAACGGGTCATACGGCAACTCCTTTAACCATTTAAGGAACTGCCAGGCTGTTTAACGAAGCAGCTGCACCATTTTACGTTTCCCCCAGCAGTGCTGGCGGGCTCCCATTCCTCCACGTCCTTCCTCACACTGTCTGTCTGTTTTATTCCAGCCAGCCCAGGGGATGTGAAGCAGTATCTCATTGCGGTTTCGATTTGCCTTTCCCTGATGGCTAATGACGTTGGGTATCTTTTTCTGCTTGTTTTTGTAAATCAAGTTTGGAACACAGCCATGCGAGCTCATTCATTTACATGTCGTCTACGGCTGTTTTCTCGCTACGATGGCAGAGTTGGGTAGTGGCGGCAGAATCTGCGAAGCCTGAAATACCTACTGTTTGGCCTTTATAGAAAAAGTTTGTTGATTCCTGCTTGAAACTATGAAGCCTTATAATGTTTGCTGGGAAGGTCAAGTTTCCAATATAGTGGAAGTGCTAAGCAAATGTTAGTTTCCTCCCTCTCTCATCTCTCTTTTCCTTTCCTAGGGCTTTTCCTTGGAGCAGATGAGATCTGGCCTCCGTCTGTCTGCAGCTTGGGTTTCTCCCTGGAGCACCTTCCTTCTCCTCTCTCTGGCTCACCCCTCCAGGCGTGCCTGTCTGCCAGGTGTGGCTGCCCACAGCACCTGTCTGCCACCAGCCTTCCCCAGGAGGCTTTGCGGGACAGGGGCCCCACGGGAGGTGCTGCTAGTCTGGAGGTCTCCTAGTGGCCATTCACCCACTTGAGATGGGGGCCGCCAGCCTCGGGGTTGACGGTGGCTTCAGGCTAATATCCTGGGAGGGGGTGCCCTGGAAGGGAAGGAGGCTGGAGACGGCTGGGGTCACCCCTACCCATCCCTGGGATGATAACTAGAGAGGCTAAGGTCCCCAAGGCTTCCAGAGACCCTCCCACAGAGGGTCGGGAGCCTCAGAGCAGAGACCAGGGTCGTGGGACCCCAGACTCACCGCCCTCTCCCAAGGGTCTTCCTCGACTGAATGAAAGCATTGAAAGGATGAGTCTTTTGGGGGAGGGAGGAGGAGGAAGCTGGTGTGAGAGGAGCGCAGACCAAGAGTCCCTGCTGCCTAAGGACAGGAAAATGTTGATGCGGCCTGAGCAGCAGGAAGGCCCCTAGCTCCTTCCCACAGCCCCCGCCCGCCACCTCTTGGCTACGTTAACCACCCCAGAACAAGCTCCAGGGCCAGGCTCTGGGCCATAGCTGGTTGGCACAGGGGCTCCTGCCCCCCAAGCTGTGTGACTTTGGGAACACACTGGCCTTCCTTGCACTGCTCCCTGGTCTGTAAACTGGGGGATGGATACCAATGCTATCTACTTCCTTGGTTGCCATGAGCACTAAACTAGGTAACCCATGCAAAGGGCTTAAAAGTGGCTAGCTCAATAAACGGGCCAGCACTCACCTTCCACCTCCGTGCCCAGCTGTCTTGGGGGAAGAGAAGTTAAATGCCCTGATTGGACACACAGGTGTGCTCAGTGAACGAGGGCTGTCACTGTCATTCAAAAACAACCTATTGGAGAAGACGATAGCCTGAAACTGCACGTGAAGCTTCTACTCACTGGTCAAGAGTGATCACTAGCCTTCCAGGAACCTGGGTACGCCTGAGTGCGCTGTCACACCCTATGGGAAAAGAGAAGGACGTTTCGCATCTGGGCCTTAAGGAGCGACTGAGCGGACAGGGGGTCAGGTGACGTGGGGTGCACCAGGCAGAGGAAGCAACAGTGGTGAAAGCTCAGAGGTGCAAAAGAATGTGTGTGCTTGCAGACAGAGCCGGGCAGGAGCTGCTCTGACGCTTACACCTTGGGACCGTTCCCGCACCAACGCTTGAAAGGTGGGCATCGGGCGCCACCTGGTGGCGACCCCTGATACCAACAGGGCAGAAAAGCGCCGCTGGAGTGAAAGTTGTCCACACCCCTCTCCCCGCGAGCCAGGACGGTCCCTTCCTCTTTCCCCACAAATGGACTTGCTGTAAAAGTGATAGAACAGCAACTAAGGTAAAATTGTAATTTAAAAATTACATTAATTTTCCAGTTGTCAAAGCAATGCATGCTCATTGTAGAAAATTTGGAAAATATAGAAAAGAATGAAGAAGGAAATGTCACTCTTAATTCTGTCACCCAGAATAACCACGACTCACATTTTGGCATATTTGCTTCTAGTGTTTTTCTCTGCATAGAATTTCCACACAGCTGAGGATTAGTGTGTGTATGTACTGACGTATATATACATACGCATGACTCATGATGTTTAAATGTATGTTGGGTATTTTTGCGGACAAAGGCTCGGTGTGGGAGTCGGCGAGTGTGCTGGGAGCTAGGTGCTGGCGTCAGACCACGCGGAGTTTGAATTCCGTTTTCGCCTCTGCTAGCGTGTGACTCGGGCAAGCGATTCTGTGAGCAGCAGTTTCCTTCGCCATCTGCAAAACGTGGGTGACAATGGGCCCCATCCCAGAGCTGCTGTGGGGATGGAATGACATGACGCAGGCAAAACGTTTGGTACAGTGCCTGTCACCGAGAGGTCACTCGCCAATAATAGACTCCTGCGCAAAGCTTTGTCTTTCTGATTCCCAGCACCGAGCTCTAGAAATGGGACTGATTGCTGGGTTCAAGGATGGGAAGGGCCACACACGAGGTTGCTACAGTTTGCCAAAATTGAGAGGAACATTTCAAGCAGGAGCGCCTGTCTCCAGCACCACAGCTGTTCTCATTTTCCTCTGCATTCTTCCAGGCCCTTTTTGCAGAGCAGTTTTTAAGCGTCGTAATTACAATGCTTGCGCCAGTTCCCTTAATGTTACATCATCGACGTTTTCCTAGGCGGCTAAAACTGTCATTGACAGCCTTTGCCATAACTCGCTTCACTGTTTCCTTATTGTTGAATATGTGGGCAGTGTAGTTTTTCATTCATTCGTTCGTTCGTTCATTCAAGAAACAGTTACCGAGTGCCTGCTCTCTGCCAGGCACGGAACTAGGTATTGGGACATTTGGGTCATTAGGAGCCATGCGCCCCTCGCTCTGGCACCTGCACTCTGGCTGGCGAGGTGACAACACACAGACACACAAGTAACACTCTAACTACTGCTGGCAGCCCCAGCAGCTGCGGTGAAGGCCGCGAAGGAAGAGGACAGCGCTGGTGCAGAGAGCTGCTTTATTTACGCGCTTGTGCACCGGGGGAAGGACCCTGCTCCCTGATTCTAGCCTGCCCTTTGCTCCTCAGTAGCCACGCCCGAAGCTTCTCCTGGAGGAGTCTCGGACGGTGTTGGATTTTCCACTAATAACGTTTTAGAGTTTCCTGAGAAGTGAGAGGGTGCCATGGTGTTCTCCCTTCCTCCAAGGCACCTTCTCCGCGCCTCACCAGCCTACGGAGGCAGCCCTGGGAGCCTTTAACCCAGCCGGCAAAAGCACCCTCTGGTGGACAAAGCCTCAACAGGCGAGGCGTGGTGGGCAGGGCACTCTGTGAGTTTCAACCCTTATGAGGCACCAGCCCTGCCCAGGCTCTGAGGGACACCCCCTAACTTCCTGTCCATGGGTTCTTACTCCATCTCGAAGGCTCCTCTTACATGAAGAGCTGGTCTGGCTTTGTAATTCACAGTAAATTCTCCATCCCTTAAACGCCTACATCATTTTCATTTTTTACCCTTTGCCTCATTTGGCAGGTGACTGTGTACTGCCTTGTGACTCCTCTTGTTTTCCTCTCTTGTGTCATTATTTCATCTGAAGAAGTCTGATTTAGATTGAGAGATCAGAGGCATCTCTGCAGATGTATCATTTACACTGAACACGGAAGGAGAAGTAGGCAGAGACCTAGAAAAAGTGTGTTCCAGGCAGAGGGAAGGACATGTGCAAAGGCCCTGAGGCAGAAGAGGTCCTGGGATGCAAAGCAAACATGAATATCTCTATGTGGGAAATAATCTTTCCAGATTGGACAAATAAAGTTGAAAATAACTCATGAATTAATACATTCATATCACTTTCTTAGGGCCACTATGTTCAAGCCCCAGGAGATGGGAACACAGATGAATCAGACCAGATTTGTTCCTACTTGGGCTAATGGGGGAGGCTCAGATGATTTCTATATAGTGTGACAGACCACAGGAGAGTTATCAATGGGTGTCATTAGAAGAGTAGAAAGAGTAATTATTTGGGGCACTGAGAGAAGTTTATCCAAGATGACACCCAAGCTGAATCTGAGTTTGCCAGGTAGAGACACAAAGGAAGGGGAAGTCCAAGCAGAGGGTATAATGGCAGGGAGGGAGGTGATTTCAGAAATGGTAATCAGGGTTGGGTGCAGTGGGTCAGGCCTGTAATCCCAGCACTTTGGGGGGCTGAGGTGGGAGGATCACTTGAGGACAGGAGTTCAAAACCAGCCTGGACAACATATCGAGACCCTGTTTCTACAAAAAAGTAAAAAAAATTAGCCAGGCATGGTGGCATGCACCTGTAGTCCTTGCTACTTGGGAGGCTGAGACAGAAGGATCACTTGAACCCAGGAGTTTGAGGCTGTAGTGAGCTATGATCACACCACTGCAGTCCAGCCTGCGCAACAGAGTGAGACCCTGCCTCTGAAAAAAAAATGGTAATCAGGAAGGATCTATTAGAGCAATTAATGTGCTTGGACTTTATCTGTAAGTGGTGGGAAAACAGGGAAGGTGTCTAAGCAGGAGAGTGGCAGGTCTGGCTGCAGTGTGGAGAATGGATGGGGGTGTGGCAGAGACCGGAGCCAGGGAGACTGGTGTGTGTGTGTGTGTTTGCTGCAGTGGCTTAGGCCAAGGCAGAAGCCTGAGTTGGGGTGGTGATGAAAAGAACAGACAGGAGAGGAAAGATGATGAACGTAGAACCTGTAATACTTGGTGGCAGACTGATTTCAGGAGGCCAGGGACAGGGCTGAGTTAAGACTTAGTAATTTGCAAGCATGGATGACTGAACGAAGGCGGTGCCACTTGCTGAGACCAGGGGCACCAGGAGGATTTGGGGGTAGAGTGGTGGAGAGAGATGGCGGGGTGCAGTGGGGGTTTCTTACTGGTACCACAGACAGCTCCAAGAATCTCCGGAGGCCTTGAAATAGAGTCCAGTGGGTCTTGACCTTGGCTGCCTTAGGATCAGCAGAGGCGCTAATTGAACACGCCGACTCCCAGGCTCACCCAGATGCTCTGCATCCAAGTCTCTGAGGGGTGGGCTTCAGGAGCCTGCATTCTACAAAAACACCCCAGGTTGCTCTGGTGCAGGTGTAAATAACTGTACGGTGTATCCACACTTCCAGAAACACGGACATAAAGCCACGGTGGGCTCCAAGGGAATAGGTGAGAGCGCCATCTGCTGCCGAGAAGGAGGTTGGATCTCCTGAGTTTAAGACTTGGTCATTTCAAGGCAGTTTGGTTTATTCACCACCTGAAACCCTGGCCCAAAGCAAAGAAACCAGACACCTGGAGAGATGAGAGAGGAGGAGGGGCCACTTCCCTCAATAACATCTGTGTTCCTTTCGCCCTATAGCACCAAGCGTGGCAAAGCTCACCTGTGTGCAGTCATGGTCACTGTCATCAGTCTGGGGTGCGGTTACACCTTCCCAACCTCGTTCCCTAAAAAACAAATGTGGCTCCTTCAGGTGGGAGGGGAGAGCCCTCTCCTTGGTTTAGCTTTAAAAATATATGGCGAACCCGAGGAACTGAAAGCAGGGACTCGAACAGATATTTGTTGACCAATGTTAACAGCAACACTATTCACAATAGCCAAAAGGTGGAAACAACCCAAATGTCCATTCACAGACGAATGGATTAAAACAATGTGGTGTATGCACACGATGGAAAATTATTCAGCCTTAAAAAAGAGTGAAATTCTGACACATGCTGCAATATGGATGAACCTTGAAGACACTATGCTAAGTGACATAAATCAGACACTAAAGGACAAATATTGTATGATTCCACTTATAAGAAGGTACGTAGAGTAGTCAAATTCATAGACAGGAGGTGGCTGCCACGGGTTTAGGGAGAGGGGCACGGGTAGTTAATGTTTGGCACAAATGGGAACATGAACAAGTTCCCACGGAGATGGATGGTGATGACGGTTGCACAGCAGTGTGAATGTACTGAATGCCACTGAACTGCACCCTAAAAGTGGTTAACATGGAAAATTGTGTTATGTGTATTTTGCCATAATAAAAAGGTGCCCTAACGAGAAGAAGCAGTCCTTAATGTCCTCAACTCAACTGGGAATCTGCAGGGCTCGCCCCTCCCAGCAGGAGCTCCCTGACGACGGGGAAGGTGATGCCCCTCTCAGTCTGGGGGCTCCGAAAGGATCAGAAAAGGTTTTCTTCCAACGGAACCCTTGCTGCTCTCCTAGGCCTGGCCTTGTCACAGCCATCATCAGACTGAGGAGGTTCCCCGGCGCGGGTTGTGCCCCTCTCCCCGCCAGACCAGGAGTTACGCCAGTGAGTGTGGGGAGCCTCTTGCCGGAGATGGATGTCTCTCCCCCCAGCCCCCAGGCTCAGGGGCCCCCGGTGTGCGCAACAGCTTCCGTGTCCCCAGTCTCACCTGCGGCCTCTCCCCTCCACGCTCTGCAGGTTCTCCAGGCGGGCGCGCCAAAGCGGCTTTTTGCCCTCTTCCAAGATGGCCGCCGCCGCCTCTGTGACAGGCCTGGTCACGTGGGCACCCCCGCCTATGAGGTCGCTGGGGCTTGGCTGGCGATTGTCCCTTCCCGGACCCCGTCTCGAGGCGGCGACTGCCCTTGTCAACCCGAGCCTGAGCGATCATGGCAACGGGCTCCGGCGGGGAGCGCCTGGCGGCGGCGGCGGCGGCGGCTGTTTGGTCGCGGGCCGGCGCGGCGGAGCGGCGGCGGCGGCGGTGGCACTGGCACTGGCCGCGGCCCTGAGCGCCATGCGGCGGGGCAGCTCCGAGAGGGAGCTGGCGGCCCGGTGGGAGGCGGAGGCGGTGGTCGCTGCCAGAGCGGCGGCCAAAGCGGCGGCCAAAGCGGAGGCGGAGGCCAAAGCGGAGGCAGAGGCCAAAGCGCAGGCGGAGGCCAAAGCGCAAGCGGAGGCGGCGGCGGGGCAGGTGCGTGTGGACGCGGGCGCGGCCGGGGAGCCCGAGCGCAAGGCGAGGGAGGAGCACCCCAAGGCCCCAGCCCCGGCGCAGTCCCGCGCGCCCGAGGAGGGGGACGCCCGCGTCCCTGCGCGGCCGCTGCCCACGCTGCCCCCGGCCAACCCGAGGTCAGCGCCGGCGCGGGGCCTCTGCCCGCGCGGGAAGCCCAAGAGCAAGGGCCGGGGCTGTAAGCGGAGCGCGGGCCTCCGTTCCGAAGAGTACGGCCCTCAGCGGCCGGTCACCGTGGACAGCTCCAAGGCCAGGACCTCCCTGGACGCGCTCAAGATCAGCATTCGCCAGCTCAAGTGGAAGGAGGTGAGGCCCGGCCCGGCCGCGTGGGCACGGGGGGGTGGACAGGACGGCCTCGGAGGACCCGGCACGGCCCAGGCCAGGTCGGCGGGCGAGGGCTGCGCTCCCTCGGGGGCGCCACGCTGGAGCCTTCTCGTCCGTCCGCTGCAAACTGCTCATCCTTCAAGGCCTAGTCCCAAAGTCACTTCCTCCAGGAAGGCTTCCTAGACCCCTCCAGGTCAAGTTAGCCACTCTCTCCTCTGGCTCCCCTACAGCTCTTTTTATGTCTCCAGCTCTCAGTACTCACCTCCGCATGCTGTAGATGTTGTTCATATGTCTGTCTCCTCCACCAGCTTCTGAGTCCCTGGGGCCCAGGACCCTCCTGTCGTTCACTTCTTCATTGAAGTTACGTGTTTAGCACTTACTATGCGACTCTTGGTCAGTGTAACAGTTTGTATTTTGGAGGCAGACAGACCTAGGGTCTCACTCCACCCCGATACTTAGCTGTCACCTTGAGCAAGTTGCTTTGCCTCTTAAGCCCGTTACCTCCTCTGTAAGTTGAGGCCAATAATACCTATCTCATCATTCTGTTAGTATTAGAAAACTCAGTGCTTAATGTTTTATAGCACAAGTACACAATAAATAGTAACTTATTTTACGGGCCTATCCTTTCTTCCTCCACTGTCATCATGATCACCGTTACCACCCCCCACATCATCTTCATCACCATCATCATCATCATCAGTGAAGGCACTGTGTTTTATGTTCCAAGGCTTGACATATAGCAGGCGTCAGTAAGTGGTGGATGAAAGGGTGAAGGAAGAGATGAGTTATTCATCCCTGAGCTCATTTTAGGCTGATGGGGGCTAGGAGGAAGTACCAGTGAGTTGGCCAAGTGGATAAAGCCATTTGACTTTATTTGCAGCATATGAGTTATTGAATGTGCTTTCAGAAGTGCTAGGGTTTTGATTCAGGGTAGCTGAGGGTGGAGACTTAGACCCAGATGGTCTGTCGATGGTAGCAGGGATCTGCAGCAGGCAACCTGAGGACTCAGGCACTTAGCCCTGTGCCTTGGGATGGTAGACATTCAGTAATGGTTTTCTGAAGTTGGAGCATGCAGAGAGCTGGCCACAGAAAGTACTGATGTGGTCAAAGTGTTGATGTGAGTCATTTGGTTTGGAGGGAAGTTAAGCATCAAGACAGGGCAACTTCCAGGTGGGTGGAGTTAGCCACTGGGGAAATCACACTCCAGGGGTCAGGGCCCCTAGCTTTGGGGCTTGGATTCAGGGGAGGCCTTTCATCCTGGGGAAAGCAATGGTGGACTCCCAGTCCTAGGGTGTCTGGGTCTCTAGATGGGCTTCCACATCCAGGCCAGGCATATGAGGCCCAGACAAGGCAACACTGAACAACTGGTCAGTGCCATTGTCCTAATGAAAAGAGAACCCAGTGACTGAAACCAGGCCACAGAGTCAGGCTAGACAGATTGTCCCAAGCAGGGGCTGCGCTTAGCTTAACCCTGTGAAAGAAAGAGACATGAAGCAGGCTGGGTTGTGTTCACTAGGAGAAATGGGGCTAGATGGACTCATACATCCCATTACTCATTCTGTAAATGTCCACTTATGGAGGTGCCACGTTCTGTGCCGGGGCCTGGGAATCAAACATGCTTAAGATGTGACCCTTGCCCTCAAGAACCTTATAGTTCAATAGAGAATAAAACACAAGTAAAGAAATAACTGTATTAATAGTAATTACAGGGCCATTGCTTCTGCTTCCTGAAATGTTCCCTTTTCAGTTATTTGTGCAGCTTGCTCTGTCACTTCTTCTGATCTCTGATCAAATGCCACCTCCCCAGAGAGTCCTTCCCCAATGATCCTCCACCAGTCTTCAACCCTTGATCTTCTTTTTTTTTTTTTCATAGCACTAAGCTCCACCTGGCATTTTATTATGTATTATTATGTATTCTTAGTTTATTGTCTGTTTCCCTCACTAGAATGTAAGCTCCACGAGGGCAGGGGCTTTGTTTTGTTTACGGCTGTACCAGCAGCTGCTTGGCACATAGAAGTTACTCAATAAATATTTGTTGAATGGATGAATACATTATGTGATGAGTGTTTCTCTCTGTGAAGGTATAAGTGCTGTGGGCGGTAGAGGAGGGGCACCCCAGAAGGGCTTCCTGGAGGAGGTAAACTGGAGCTGAGTCCTGAGTGCTGAAGATGAGCTGGAGTTATTTAGGGGCTGTGGACTTTGGGTCGCTGGTGGAGGGCGTGGTATGGGGAAAGCAGAGGTCCGTTCAGGGCTGTGCATGTTTCTCGGTGTGGCTGGATCAAAGAGTGGGAGGTGAAACGGTGAGAGAGGAGGCTGCAGGATGAGCGGGGTCAGATCACGTGCTACACTATGGGAGTTGGACTTGTTTTGGGAAGGAAGGCTATGTGAGCCATTACAGAGTTTAAGGTTTTCCCATTTACTAGCTGTGCTAATTTGGACAAGTGAGTTAAACTCTTCAGGCCTCAGTTTGCTTATCTGTAAAATGGGGGTGGGTAGAACTAGTTGAGGGGGTCCCAGTCTCTCTACTGCAGCAGCCACATAATGGTAATGTTAATCTGCCTGAGATGCTTGCACTGGTCAACCCAGTGAGGTGGGTGGCTTCCAGGACACCACCTGTAACTGCCGCCTCTACCCAACCCTGCCTTTCTCTCCCACTCAGAAAGCATATTGACACATAGGTGGAGATGCTCATTCTAGTCTATTTTAAAACATAATCCACTCACAACAGTAAGACTTCACTACACATGCGTGATTATTTCCTTACTGTCATTCTTCTCCATTAGTCTGTGAGGTTCTGAGGGCAGGGGTGGTGTCTGACTTGTGTCCCTGCTGCCCAGCACATTATAGATGCTCAATAAATGTTCATCAAAGGAATGATAGGATGCTTGCAACAGCTCACATCTCCTCTTGACACCCTAGAATGTGGTGCTTGAAAAATGCCAGAGTAGATAAACTTTAAAGTTCCATCCTGCTTCAAATTATGATTATGGTGTTCTCAGTACCTCCTACAAAGTTGACTGCGTGAAAAGTAACATATATATAAACGCGGGACTGATAGAGTGCAAACACAAGACCTGACCAGGCCTATGCTTCCCCATCTGGTACGGGGGTGATGTTGAGTAAGATCATCTCTTAACTCCCAGCACTGACATTCGAGGATTGGGAACTTCTCCTGGAGCATGGGGTGCAAGGGATTGAGCAACAGTGTCCCTTCCATGTCATGCTGTGTTGCTCCCATGGGGTTGGGAAGTACCTAGCTGGCTGGCTTTGGCAGGAGCGGGTGGGTAGCCCAGGTAAGAAATAAGGTCATGAACACCAACCAGAGTGAAAGTTCCGGCTCCTTTTGCGGGTGTGTTGTGAGGAGCTGTATAACATGCTCCACTTAACAGGGTGGCACGGAGCCAGCACGTGAATTCAGAAGTGTGCTCGGCTGCAGGGCACACAATATCCCTTCCTTTTCCACTTTTCCTTATTCCACATGCATCTAACGACAGCGATGACTAATGATAGCAAACCTTTGTAAAGCTCTTACTCTGGCCCTGGTGCTGTTTGAAGTGCTTTATGTATATACAGGTATTTGATTCTCCCAGCAACGCAGGAAGGTAAGGCCTTATTGTGTCCATTTCACAGATGAGAAACTTCAAGTACACAGAGATTAACTTATCCAAGGTCATACAGCTAAAAAGAGGCAGAGCGATCATTTGAAGTAGGTATTCTATTTGAAACAGGCTTCGATTCAGTTCTGTATTTGCTATTGGCAGACCCTGGGTTAGGGTTGCAGAGGTAGATGGGAACGGTATGTACTGCTTGCCCTCTGGGAGCTCCCACTGTCGAGGGACAGACCTGCGAGCACACAGTTACAGCCCAGTCTGGGAGGTGACTGGGTCAAGGACATTTCCTGCACAGTGGGAACAAAGCAGGGAGTACGGACCAGGATTTCTGTGCAGGATGGGGTGATGGCAGTTTAAGGAGCATGTTGGGGAGTGGAGAGAGACGAAGAAGGAGCCAGATCACGGAGCACGTTGAAGGGCTTGCCAAGAAGCTTGTGCTTCTCACTGAATCTGATCACAGATTGCTCGCCATATATAGCCCCAGCCTCCCTTGCCCACTCTCCTTCAGTCCCAAGTGAACCACGCCAACTCTTGGATGATTCAGTTTGCAGTCGTATCCATTCTGGTTAGGTCTAATTTAACTGTGTCCACAATGTTGAATTTGCTTCTCAAAGGGAAAACTCACAGATGTTAGCTCTGTAAACTTGTAGATGAGACTGAAGTTTTGCTCCAATAGCAAAATCATGTTTACAGAGTCACCACTGAAGCTGCAATATGAAAGAGAGGGATGGTGCCCGGCTCATGGCAGTTGCTCAATATTTACGGAACTGTATGGCCCCTTCCAGTCCTGCGAACTTCTCTGCCCATTCCCTGCATATTCCTTTGTCACTTTGCCACTCTCATTAGTGAAAACCTTAGAGGAAAGACACCAAAGAGAATAGATGCCACTTTTGTTGTGAGCTGCCCTCCTTGGAGATATAGGTTGTGTATATGTGCACAGTGGTGCCATGGACACCAGCTGCCATGAATGGGGGCTCTGAGAGATTCGATAGTGGGAGCTTTGTTGGTGACAGTTTGCATAAGCCCCTGTCCTGGGATCTGTTACAGTCTGAGTTCTGTTTTCAGAAACTCCAAATCATGCATTGTTTTCTGCAATTTATCTAGCCTTTCTTCAAAACATGTATATGCTTACTATGTTGTCCTACTTGCAACTCGTATAATATTAGTTACTGCTTATTAAATATCTATTAATATTATGTGCTAAGCATTGTACAAAGTGCTTTATGTTCATTAAAACTGCATCGAGCATTTACTTTAGAATATTTAATCCTCACGGCAGTCCTCCAAAATAGACTCTGTTATCGTTTCCAGCTTACAGAGAGGAAAGCGATGTTTGGAGACAGGTTGGCACAGGGCTAGCCCAAGGTCCAC